ACATGGCATTTACTAGGATACATACCATTTTAATTTTTATTTATTGTTAATATTTTTTCAATTGGAAAGTTATAATTATATACTTTTATTGGGTACAATGTGTTGATTTTGTATGTGTCTATATATGCACACCTAGGTATATACACAGTATGAAATGATTACATCAAGATGATGAACATATCTACCACCTTGCTTATCCCTTTTTTGTGATGAGATATTTGAAATTTACTCTCTGAGCTATTTTGAAATACAGAATACATTATTATTGAGCTTAGTCACTCTGCTGTGCAATGGATGCATGACTATCTGCTAGATGACATAAATGCATTTTAATTTGATCTTCAACAGCAGAACAGAGATTACTCATCATCTCTCTTCTTTCTAGATGAAGAAAGCAAAGTTTAGAGTTGAATGACTAGACTGAGGTCACACAGCTGGAAAGGGACAAGGACCATTTTGTAGTTCAGATCCACTGGCTTCCAAAGCCCAGGTTTTTTCTTCCACACTGAGAAATCTCTCAAAGTGGATGAGCTTATTGCACCTGAAACCAGGGAAAGATCTTTTAATTTGATTCTTTATAAGAACAAAGAAAAAGTTAGCTGAGTAGATTGAATAAGCATATTAATGAAGAGGACTTTAACATATAAAGTTAATTATTTGTATTTGAATAACACACAAGGATAAAAGCAGGTGTGGGGATAAATACCAGTTTTTCTCCTTGGGTATCAGTAGCCCCTTCATCCTGGTGAGACGAAGACAATGCCTCTTCCATGACTGCTCTCCAGGTTCTTCCCTACTATCCTTTTTCCTCAACTTCTTGGAATGCTCCTAAACCCAAAGGCTCAAATCTGTTTAGATTACAAGCTCCCTAGAGATAGGGGCTGTCTCTCTCATTTTTGCAGTTTCGGAGCCTAGGACAGTGCTGGCCCAATGAATGGGTGCATCGCTTGGCTCTGTTTCCTGCCCACTTATAACACATGCTAGTTTCTAGAATCAACTCTGATGCGCATCTTTCTGGAGATCATGCATGCCTGCTTTCTGCAGCTCAGATCTTAAAGATCTGGCTTTCTGCTTTAACAACCCATAGTGCAGCAAAATAGATTTCTAGAACTGCTGCTATTTTAATATCTACCTTTGAAGCAATCGTATAGAAAACCCAAAATGGTGTCGTGCTAGAGCTTCAGAACCCACTGCTCTCTGGGTGTTTTTTGCGGCCCAGCACTATGACAATGGGAAGAACGTGGCCATAGAACTCCAACCCTGAGGGTTTCTGCAACATTTTCCTATTGGGCTAATGCCCCATTTTCTTTGGTAGTTTTGTGTCCCTACATAGAAATATCCCACTGGGCCCTATGCTAATCTTAACCACGCTGACTGAACTGGCACCATGCGGTAGATTTATTTTAGTGGCACTAACATGCAAGCTCATGTTAACTGATATTGGAAAACCAGTCTTTGACTTGCTCATAACCTATTTACTCTTAGTTTATACAAAGTTCTAACAGCCTTGGTATGTCTGTTTTCTAACTCTGAGCGTACTGAATGCATCACATTGTGCATTGGCAAAGATACTGATAACAAAGGGAAGTAACATGTAACAGCTGCATAGTAAAGGAGGAAGCAGAAAAGCTATTAAAGACAAGCTCAGAGACTTGAACATCTGGCAGTCTGGGACCATTCCATGCATCTTGAGATGCCAGATAGCTTCTGAGATATTAGTAACTGAGCAGCATGGCTCAGTAATCGATGTCCAAAATGATGACTCAAAATCCAAAAATCATTCACTGTTCAGTCGGCTCTGAATTGCAGTGTGTTTAACATGACAAAAAGTATGAACTATGTTTTAGAAATGTGTCCAGTTAAATGCTAATAGTATTCCAAGGAAAATAAAGTTACTCATAAAATTTTTGCTTTGCACAGTTGTATGTTATAAGACAGTTCTGAATAGTCAAGGGTGTGTGTGTGCTTGAGTATGTGTGATAAAGACACACAAAGAGAGAGAGAACCAGACAGAATTGTGTGTTTGCACGTTTTTATACCAATAAATTGTATTTAAACGTTTACCTATTTTAGCAGAAGCACATTCATTAATCCCATTGAAGGACATGAACAAATCATTTATTCCATATGACATAGAAACCTTTGGTGGCATAAAGTGTCTAGTGGGGTACAGGGGCAAGATAGAGAATAGTTAAAATGATTCCTTATTACCACAGAGCTGACATATTTGGTGCTCTAATGACATAGCTGTGCCCTTGTTGTCCCTTGATAGTTCCACAGGACTCCCAAGTTGAGACTGTACCCGAGGACCCTGGACTTACCTGTTCCTCTCATAATTAAAAGATCCTACTCTTTAACCTTATTTTATGTTTTAAAATGTTGATCAATTTCAAGATGACATAAATTGAGAAATGAAGGACTAGGCAGAGGAGGTCAGATTAACCCATTTATGCCTGAGGTTGCAATTTTTTGAATTTTTGCAATCAGGCCTTGGCCATGACCTTGAGCAATAGGAGATAAATAACTGCCACATGCTTAGCGTTCCAATAATGAAACGCTAGGCATAAATGGGCTTACGTACAGAAACTCAGTCAATGTCAACTCCTTCATTCTTATGAACATCTCAGAAAATGCTTAAGACAATCAAAGGTTCAAGTTCTTCTGAAATGATATGCCCTAAAGCCTTATTTAACTTAAGTGAGTAAACAAAAAAATAATGTTAGATATTGCAAGAACAAAATGTTCCTAGAGAATGGAGCCCTCTCTGGAATCGGTAATAATGCAGGCTGCTGCTATCTGTGTGCATTTCTCAACCTTTCTGGAAAATGGCACACAAAATCCTTTCCACTGGTATTTTGCCACCACTCATGGCCTGTCAATTCTAATGAAAATACTCCATGCTAAGAAGGTGACAGGAATTACATACATCATCTTTTTTTTAGTTTCCTTTCTGTCTATCAAACTGTACTTTAAAGGAACTGATTATTAAAGCATTATATAAGTATGCAAACGATATTGAAAGAGAAATAATGTTTCCATTATACACAATGTGTATCATAAGAAAGGCTGAGTGTGATGACATATGACAAGTGGTAAAAGGTATTTTTAGTTGCTTTCATTTTGGGGAGTAATAAAGAAAAATTATCTGGAATATACAGCATTAGGAGATTTTTCAACTTCTCTAGTAGCTAGCATTATTTGTGGCATATTTTAAACTAAATATCTAACTGGAATTGTTTTGAAAGTTAATGTAGATATTAGTTTAAATATATGTTATACTAGCTTTAATAATTAATTTGTACTCATTTGAAAAGCTAATACAAGGGTCAGTATTTGCTCTATTATTTTATGATCTTTTTCACATCTGTGTTCTTTGTAATTACTCCTAACTCAAGAGATTTCATAAATCATTTTTGGGCTGGGCATGGTGGCTCATGCCTGTAATCCCACTTTGGGAGGGATTACACTCCCTAGCACTTTGGGAGGCTGAGACAGGTGGATCACTTGAGTTCATGAGTTCAAGACCAGCCTGGGCAACATGGTGAAATCTCGTCTCTATGAAAAAATACAAAATTAGCCAGGTGTGATGGCCCACTCCCATAGTTCCAGCTACTTGGGAGGCTGAGGTGGAAGGATTGCTTGAGCTCAGGAGGTGAAGGTTGCAGTGAGCTTAGATGACACCACTATACACTACAGCCTGAATAATACAGCCAGACCTTGTCTCAAAAAAAAAAAAAAAAATTTTAATTTATCAGAGCAACTGACCTATGCATGATGTGTAGTTATTGCAGAAAATGACCAAGAAATTATGTTTACAATTTAAATATGTAAAGCTCAAAAGCAATGAATCTAAGACTCCTGGAAATTCAGACTGAAATAAACTAAAGGACGTTTCCACTGAACCTGAGAAAAACAAGCAATAAAACCTGATTCTTTGGCATTTTAGTCTTTTTTCAAAGAGAAAAATCACATTCTTCCCAGTGGAATCACATCACATGCAGAAACAACCCATAGAAGAGTCTAATGGTGGCAGGTGTACTGAGTTACCCACCACGAAGGTGCAGTGAGGCACTCTCAGCCCTACTTTTATGCTCCAACTTGTTTTATCACCCAATTAAAATTGAACAGTGAAAAATACATTTAAAAGTTACATTTTCAAAGGGAAAAAAACATGGTTGCCCTTCTTAAATTAACACTGATACTTGATCTCAATGTTGGCCCTTTCTGTGCAACTGAAGCTTTACCGGTAAAAATCACAGGTTACCGATAGGACACTGTTTTGTGCTGACATAATGGGCAATGACTGATCATGAATTTTTTTTTCTTGAGGTAAAAATTGTTATTGTCAATGATTTGAATAGTCCCTTTAAAAGTTAGTGATTAAGAAATAACAGTATTCTAAAACTCTGAATCTGGGAAGAATTGATGTGTGTAGTAGAATATAGTGATAAACATTGGTTATTATTGGGAGGAAATAAGACAGCCTTTTTGGGAAAGTTTGTAGAATATTTTGTTACTTTGTAGTCTGATATTTTTGTGCTTTTATTGAAATATTTTAAACTGAGACAAAAGTTTATACTTTCATAAGCTAGAAATGTGCAACAAAAAGTTAATACTCCCTTAATTTGTCACATGCTAAGAGAAATGCAATGATCCAAGAAAATGTACTATGTTCGCTATATACCAATTATATGACAACTTCATTGCTGTAAGATAAATGCATGACCTAAAAAAATGTTTGAGGTTAGATTTGCTAAGTATATATTGTATAACATAAGTACTAAAAAACCTTAATGTAGGCTAGTCAAAAAGTTAACACAGCTTGGACCCATATTTCACACACACACACACGCACAGACACACACGACACACACACACCCATTTTTAGCCTTTTCATTAAGTTTCTTCAGGTGGAAAAAAAAACTGTTTAAGGACTTTGTCTATGTGGTTGGGTTGCTTTCATTATATTTTAACCAAGTCATTGTTTTCCTGTATTTCAGGATCTAGATTTCTCATCACATCCACGGGAGCCTTGTATATTAAAGATGTACAGAATGAAGATGGATTGTATAACTACCGCTGCATCACGCGGCATCGATACACCGGAGAGACGAGGCAGAGCAACAGCGCCAGACTTTTTGTATCAGGTAAAAACTCATCAAGACTCTGTCTGCCATGTCTGCTGTTTCTTTGTTAGTATCCTGAGACGACTCAATCAAAATCGTGGAGTGTTGCCATTAAAATGGAGCCTTCAATTCCTTTTCCAAAATAGTTTAGCAATTTTAAAACTCTTTTAAATGAATATGAATACAATTTCATAGAAATACAGATTTCACATTTGTCAAACCAGTAATTGACTCATTCACATGACGACGTGTTAGCATTTCAGGGAGCACATTAGGAGTGAAAGATCCATCTCCATCTCAAATATCCATCTCAAATGCAGTCAAATTGCATTTGATTTGATTAGAAAATCAAATACAAAATACCTAACCTTTGCCTTTGGGGCTGAAGAATATAAAATTGCTCCCTGTGGTAAATATCCTGTAAGGTTGTAATAGTGAGATAGAAGTGACCAAAGGTTGCTTGCTATCAATATTTAAGAAGTACCTTATTTGTAATAATGCTTTATGGGAAGAAGTGAAGGGAACTTGTTGAACATTGGGATAATTTGAAACATCACTGCCTGAGCACCCACTTTTTGTCCTTGATAAAATGACACAGGAGCCAACATAAAGGGGCTCTCATCAGTCAAAGGGAATTAACTGAGTATCAGCAGTGATGCTTGCACATGATTGATAACCATTAAATATTGTGAAAACCTTTGAGTTCATTACAATTTTATACAATGTGAATACATGAATATATATTTCATATAAAGAAAGAAATAAGAATCTCATTGGTCTGCATAGTAGTGACCAGGACACTAACTCTTCATTCTGATAACAGGTGATTAAAGACAACAACAACTCAATGTATTCTGTCTTTCCTATAGCTACTGTATTTTTAGATAACCAGCTAACCTTAGTTCAGAAGGGAAAGTTCATTTTGCAGAATAATTGTGTCTACTGAATGCAACAGAAATGACAAAATTAGAAAATTTCATTTTCAGTCTTAATAAAATAACTCAGATAAATTTTAACATCTGACCTCACTGATCAATTGAGTGTCACTAAGAACGGGAAAACCACACATTATGTGGATGCAATGTGAAGTACACAACACCCCTCTCAAAGAGAAAAATGTTGAATACTTATCTAACCAACCCACTGAAATAAATTCCAGTTCATAAGAAAAATGCCTGTGGCAATAACGGCACAAATTAAATGATGTCATAGACAAGCAAATTCAGCATGGTAACTACCTGGTTTCTTTCGGAAGTCAAGTCAAATACATGGGAGAAAGGAGGGCTGGCTCTGCATTAAGAAAGACTCAAGAGATATAACAGCTGCATGTGAATAGGAGAAGGATCTTGATTTAATTAATTCAATTGTTTAAAAGCTAGCCACTTTTGAGCTGATGAGGAAAAATGAATTTGCAGTGTATATACTACTTGATATTGTGTAATACAGACTGTGGTTATGTAACAAAACTCTATTTTTATTAGAGAAGCATGCTAGTGATGTGATGATAAAATGACATAGCTTCCCTTTTTTGTTGCTGTTTTTGTTTTGAGGTGGAGTCTCGCTCTGTTGCCATGCTGGAGTGCAGTGGCACGACCTTGGCTCAATGCAATCTCTGCCTCCTGGGTTCAAGTGATTCCCCTTCCTCAGCCTCCTCAGTAGCTGGAACTACAGGCGTGCACCACCACGCCCAGCTAATTTTTTGTGTTTTGGTAGAGACAGGGATTCACCATGTTGGCCAGGATGGTCCGATCTCCTGACCTCGTGATCCACCTGTCTTGGCCTCCCGAAGTGATGGGATTACAGGCGTGAGCCACTGCGCCTGGCCTATAGCTTCCCTTTTGTTGCATATTCTTTACCACCAAAAACAAAGTAAAACTATCAAGAAATAAACATGATGAAGAATAGAAAAGTTTTGGTGTCAGAGCCATTAATATGATGAATATATGGGACGCATCATATTATTTTTGTCTATTTTTGTGTAAGTTTTCAAACGTTTGGGATAAAAATAACTTTTGTAAATATATATAAAAAAGTTTGAAGACTGAGACAAAGACAAAAAAGATACTGAAGGGGATGAAAAGGAAAGACAGTGCTGTTTGGTTGTTTAGATTTGACATATGACCAAATATCCCCACAAGAGCCTGTCTCAAGCATTGCCTCAATCATGCACTTAAAATATAAACCATCGGATGCTGGTGAGGGTGCAGAGAAAAGGGAACCCTTATACACTACTGGTGGCAATGTAACTTAGTCCTGCCATTATCGAAAGCAGCCTGGAGATTTCTCAAAGAACTTAAAATAGAGCTACCGTTTGACCCAGCAATCCCATTACAGAGTAATATATCCAAAAGAAAATAAATCATTCTTCCAAAAAGACATATACGCTTGTATGTTCATCATTGGGCTATTCACAATAATAAAGACGTGAAATCTGCCCAGGTGTCCTTCAATGGTAGATTGGATAAATAAGATGTGGTACATATAAACCGTAGTATACTGGAAAGCCATAAAAATGAATGAAATCTTGTTCTTTGAAGCAATGAGGATGGAGCTGGAGGCCATAATTCTTAGTAAATTAACATAGGAGTAGAAAACCAAGTACCTCATGTTCTCACTTACAAGTGAGAGCTAAATATTGACCACACGTGGACACAAATACAAGAACAGTAGACACTGTGGATACTAGACTGTGGAGGGCAGGGAGTTTGGGTTAAAAAGCTACCTATCAAGTACCATGCTCACTGAGGAACAGGGTCTCTACTCCAAACCTCAGCATCACGTAATATTCCCAAGTAACAAATCTACATATACCACCTGTATCTAAAATAAAAGTTGAAATTTAAAAAGAAATAACCTCATTCCAGTTTCATAAAATAGTTTTATTGAGATGCAATTTACTTTAATATAAACTCCATTCAGTTTATTCAATGATTTTAGTAAATGCATAGAGTTGTGCCACAACTGCACCAATCTAATTTTAGAATATTTTCACCACCCAAAAGATTCCTCCTACCCATTTGAAGCCAATTTCAATGTCCATCCCCAGTCCCAGACAACCACTAATCTATTGTCTGTCTCTGTAGAGTTGCATTTTCTGGATATTTCACATAAATGGAATGATACAGGATGTGGATTTTGTGTCTGCCTTCTTTCATGTGGCACCCGTGTTGTAATGTGTTAGTCGTTCGCTCTTTCTTGTTGCTGAAGAGCATGTGATCATCTGTAAATACTGCATTTGGTTATCAGTTCACTAAATTATGGACATTTGGGTTGTTTCCACTCTTTGATGATGAATAATCCTGCTACGAACATTTGTACCTAAGTCTTTGAGTGAACATGTTTTCATTCATTTAGGGTAGGTACCTAGAAGTTGGGGCCTCATGGCAAATTGAAGTTTAAACATTTTAAGAAAATACCAACCTGTTCTGGCTGCTTTTATTTGGCAAGTATATCACAATACACCTGGGGAAAAAATAAACTCTAGCCAATGTGATGTAAGAGGAGAAAAATGTGTGGGTTTGTAGGAAATCCTGCTTAAAAGTGACTTCACTGAGGGGGCATTCTTACGCATTTTTGCTTTCCTTCTTTATACCACCTGTGATGTGGATGTGAAGGCTGGCACTCCAGCAGCCATTTTTATGTGAAATCTATATGTGTGCCTATGTAAGTCTATATTTACCTTCCACCAACAATGGGTGAAGATTCCAGGTCCCTACATCTTTACCAGCATTGTTTGTGATTTTATTGCGGTCATCCTAGTGGGTGTGAAGTCATGTCTCACTGTGATTTTAATTCATATTACCGTAATGCCTAGTGATATTGAGCATCTTTTTGTGTACTGATTAGTTATTTGTATATCTTCTTTGGTGATGTAAAATATCAACGATTTTGCCCATTTTTGGGTTGTTTCTTCTCATTATAGAGATGTAAGCATTTTTAATATTTTTTGGATTTGAGTTCTTGATTAGAAATATGATTTTCAAATTTTTTTCACTTGATGCCTTTGAGAATGCTACAGTTCTTAATTTTTTTATTTTTTTATTTTTATTGTTTGAGATGGAGTCTTGCTTTGTTGCCAAGGCTGGAATGCAGTGATGTGATCTTGGCTCACTGCAACCTCCACCTTCCGGGTTCAAGCTATTATCCTGCCTCTGTCTGTAGCTGGGACTACAGGTGCATGCCACCACACCTGGCTAATTTTTGTGTTTTTAGTAGAGACGGGGTTTCACCATGTTGACCAGGCTCATCTTGAAGTCTTCATCTCATGTGATCTGCCCACCTCGGCCTCCCAAAGTGCTGGAATTATAGGCATGAGTCACCAGGATGGGCCAGTTTTTTTAATTTTGGAGAAGTTTATCATGTTGATTTTTTCTGTTGTTGCTTGTTTTTTTAGTGTTATGCCTAAGAACTTCTCAAGGTCATGAAGATATTTTCCTTATGTTTTCTTCTAAAAACTTTTATAGTTTTAGTTGTAATATTTAGATCAATAATCCATTTTGAGTTAATTTTTGTAGGTAGTGTGAGGCAAAGTTCTAATTTATTTTCCTTGTGGATATCCAGTTGTCTCAGCCATTTTTAAAAATGTCATTAGCATTACATAGCACTGTCTTAAGCATATTTGAGAAATTTCTGCCAATAGTTTCAGTTAGAATAAAACTTTTTAAGTGCAGTCATTGAGAGTTGACTTTTTATGAATAGCATTAGAAGTTGGTGCATTTCGTTTTCAGAGATGGTGGGATTGTTCTGCAAAGAAAGTCAGAGGTGCGCACTGTGGTGTTTGTTGTCAGCCACCCCTGCCAAAGGAATGACATCTTTGTACCACCTTCTCCAACTCTACTTCTACTTCCTATTCTAAATAAAGTGACAGATTTTGCAACTATTTTTTCATAGTACTTTATAATATCTTCAATATTCCACTCTAGTGTAACTAAAATCTGTATTACTGAAGAACAAGAGCTATCATTATATTCTCATATTTCTTAAATAAATGAAGACAGAGTTCAAAATAATAGAGAAGCTTACCCCAGGTAATACATATTATCTTGGATATGATTTCTACTTACTAAACAATATTGCGATGGTGTTTATATGGCCTGCAAGTTAGTGTAGTATGAGGTAATAAATCACATGCAGTTGAGGATGTCCAAGACCCTTTCTGGAGTTGGCTTTAGGCGCATCTTTGTGTCTTCTCGTTCACGGAACCCATTGGGTGTGCAGGTGATGATACTTTCAGTAACATGGATGCAGACAGCTAACCATTTTTCTAGATGCTTCGTTGATGCTAGAAGATGCCAGAGATCAGTGAGACATCATTGGTTAGGCCTGTCTTCTTAATTATTCAGTCTCTAAGAACATAACTTGATCTTCAAACCAATACTTTTCAAAGTCCGTTTGTAATTTCCTTTAGAAGCAGGTAAATGAAGTGGTGAAGTTTTTGCTGGCACAGGTTCTGTACTTGGGTGTTGTGAAACTTTTATATCTCTCTCGCCTTCTGGAGCCCCATAGTCATGCATGTGAATGAGTATAATTCTGGAATATAGAATTCTTCAGTTAATGAAGAATTAGAGGAGTCCTGGAAGCTCATCAGGTATTCTTTAAAAGAGTATTTAGGTTCCCTCATCATATCACTGTCACATTGTTCTCATAAGACACCAGTGAAGTTAAAAGAGCAGCAAGTTCATAATGAAGTTTTATCTCCTCTGATGATTATAAAAGAAATGGAAAGCCAAGACATTTCAGCTAAATGCTTTTGTTCTATTTTCAACAGTGCCTGCTGACTGCCCCCAGGGCTGACTACGGAATCACAGCCTCTTAAAGAAGTCTTTCTATTAATAAATGATTTTTTGATGTTATTGTTTATTAAAACAGAAGTTTATTCTCTTGTATATAAGTCCAGAAGCTGGTTTGCCAGCTCCAGTGTCACCAGGGACCAGGCTTTTATCTTTGTGATCCATTATCCTCATGTGAGATTCCATTCTCAATATGATTTCAAAGTCCAAAGTGAGTGCTGCATCTCCTGCCTTTATATCCACATTCCAGGTGATATAAAGAAGCAAAGGAAAAATGCATAAAAACACCCCTCTCAGCTAAGTCACCTTTAAGCAGAATTTCCTACAAATCCACACATTTTCACCTCTTACATCTCCTTGGCTAGAGTTTATTTTTCCTCCAGGTTAATTGAGGTATTGAAAAATGAAAATTGAATATATTTAAGGTATACAATGTGATGTTCACTATGCATATATATATATATGCATGTGTATATATGTGTGTATATATATAGGTGTGTATATATGTGTGTATGTGTGTATATGTGTATATATATACACCACTATCAAGCAAAATAACATATCTATTGCCTCACATAGTTACATTTGTATGTGTATGTATGTGTGTGTGTGATGACAACATTTAAAATCAACTGTCTTTGAAAATTTCAAGTATATAAGATAGTGTTATTAACTATAGTCACTATGCTGCATATTAAACCTCCAGAACCTATTCATCTGGCATAACTGAAACTTTATACCCTTTTACCTACCATATGATCTAGCAATCCCACTCTGGGTATATATCCAAAGGAAATGAAATTGGGTATCTGCACTCCCATGTTTATTGCAGAATCATTCACAACAGTCAGAATATGAAAAAAACTTGTGTTCATCTACATATACACACATGCATAGGAATATTATTCCTATATACACAAAGGAATATTATTCAGCCTTAAAAAAAGAAGGAAATCTTTCCATTTGCAATGACATCGATGAACCTGAAGGGCATTATGCTAAGTGAAGTAAGCCATGTACAGAAAGACAAACATTGTCTTTACTCACATACATGTGAAATCTAAAAAAGTCAAACTCAGAGAAGCAGGGAACAGAATGGGGGTTGCCAGGGACTAGGGGATGGGACAAATAGCGAGGTGTTCGTCAAAAAATACAAAGTTCCAGATGGCTCTCATTTGATAGGACAGTGGATATCCATTCCTTGGCCATCAGATTTAATGCAGGTAGATCAAAAAAGTCATGGCATTTTTCTTACTGAGGCAAAGAAGAAAATTTCAGGAGGCAGGAGTCTATAACTCTTCTGTAATATCCATGTGGCATGCCAGGGTGTTGGTTCATGCAAGTTCTACACAGGATGAATTAGAAGAGACAGCAGGGAGAGAACACTGAGTTTTACGTTTAGCATCTGATCAGGTGCTATATTTTATATTCTTCGTAGTCACGCAGATTATGACCTTGGGAACATCACTGCATTCAAACAAACTCGAAGGACATTGAGCTGCGTGGTTTCCACAGACCCAGTTCTTGAGAATATTTTATCAAATTCCTCACCTGGTTCAAGATGATGTCATAGAACAGGCAAATTTTAGAAGGCCATGTCATAAGTCATAAGTCATCATTTGCAAGCTGCTTCTTTCTAATCCATTGTCTTGCTATGCCACATGTTGTTGATAGTGCTTATTCACCTGACCTCAAATACCATCTTCTCAGAGAGTCTGTCCCTGAGGACCCTATGTTAAGGCCTCCTGGCTGCCTCCACACCCATAACATGTGGAATTCACTCTCTGTTCTGCCCTCTTTTTCTTTCTTTAATTATACTTATTACAAATTATCTTTATTTGCTTGCTAATGTGTTGCTTGCTCCCTAACACCCACCCACCCAACAGAACATGAGCTCCAAGAAGACACCTGTCTCATCCACCACTCTCCCATTAGTGCCTAACTCTGTGCTGGTCTACACTGGAGGATCAAAACATATTTGGGAAATGAATAAATAAAATGCTTTAAAATTCAAAAGCTATGTGTAAAGCTCTTTCTCTTGTGCAATAAATTTTACTAAAGGTAAACAGCTATTTCTGCTAGTGTTGCTCTTTTTTTCTGTTTAAATTTATTTAGGCTGGGTGTGGTGGTGCATGCCTGTAATCCCAGCATGTTGGGAGGCCCAGGCAGGAGGATCACTTGAACCCAGGAGTTTGAGACTGTGGTGAGCAATCATTGCACCACTGCACTCCAACCTGAGCTACAGAGTGAGCCACTGTCTTATAAATTTATTTATTTTATTAATTTTTTATGATATTTTATTGATGCATAATAGATACACATAGTTTGGGGTACATGTGATAATGTATTCGTATAATTAAAATCAAATCAGTGTACTTGGGATATTCGTCACATTATACGTTTGACTTTTCTTTAAACTGTAATTATTTCAATTCTTCTGTTCTAGCTATTTTGAAATACACAATAGATAATTGCAAACCATAGTCATTCCACTGATCTATCTACCACTATGTCTTATTTCTTCTCTCAAATTGCATATTTATACCCATTAAGCATCTTTTAAGAGAATTCTGACATTCCCAGTTATGAAAAGACAATCTGATTCTTAGCCTGAGCTGACAGCTCTTGTTGAAGCCTGCTCATTCTGGATCTTTTATTCATTTACTGGGGAATGACCAACAGAAGTTCTGACCAGTGTTCAACCTTTTGTAAATTCTGAGCAGAAAATAAATTGTATGAATAGGGCATTTCTTTTTCTGTTCACTTATAAAATCTTACAGATCTGTATCAATAGTTGGTATGATGCACCAGTTTAAATTATACATGAAGTCCTACAATTCTAAATGACCACTTCAACTCCTCATTCACTGTCTCTAAGAGTTTTTGTTTCTTCTACAGACCCAGCGAACTCGGCCCCATCCATACTGGATGGGTTTGACCATCGCAAAGCCATGGCTGGGCAGCGTGTGGAGCTGCCTTGCAAAGCGCTTGGGCACCCTGAGCCAGATTACCGCTGGCTGAAGGACAACATGCCCCTGGAACTTTCAGGGAGGTTCCAGAAGACCGTGACGGGGCTGCTCATTGAGAACATTCGCCCCTCGGACTCAGGCAGCTATGTGTGTGAAGTGTCCAACAGATACGGAACGGCTAAGGTGATAGGCCGCCTGTACGTGAAACGTAAGTTGGACGGTAACTTGCAAAGGTGGTGTTGGCTTCCATCGATGGAGCTCCTGTTATAAGCGAATCTCCATGTTTTCTCTGTAGCTTTCCATTAACTCCCAAAAGAGTCCAGCTGAGATCAACAGAAACCTCATTTTACAGATGTGAAAATTAATGCTCAGATGAATTCCCCAAGGTTACACAACTGGAGAGTCTTGGGTGTCAGATTTGATTTGAAGACTGTCTGATCCCCAAACCTCTGTGAGTTCCATTAGGCCACAGACTATTACATTTCCAAGATACGATTTCAAGATAACACTTCCTAGCTGATGAATTCACAACAGCCAGTCTCTCTAAAAATGAACAGAGTGAGAGGGTAGGATTGTTCTTTCAGCACAAGTGATGATAGCCAATCAAAGCAGTTGTCCTTTGTCTGTTTCCAGACCATTTCTGCATTAAATTTCTAAATAAGGCTATTAGCCAAAGTATGAGGCTCAAACATACCCAAATATTAGACTCGTGCCTGGTATTTTAGATCATCTACTCCAAATATGATGGATATATTTGATCTTCCATTGATTATTGATTGCCTTGGCTGCCTTGAGGAATGTGTTGAGAAGGATACTGAAGGCAGATTTGGAGGAAGGAGGGATGTGATTGCAGGGTCACAATCTAATCTACTCAAACACCCTCAATTTTGCTCATGCAGAAACCAAATTAAAGTGAATTACTCAAGATCACATGGCCAGAAAAGGAAGGCAGAGCCTTGGTCAGACAGGAGGTCTTAGTTGCCAATATAATACTCCTTTTTTGAAAATATATTTTTACTTGATGAACTAAATTGAACAGATTTAACCACAGGAATCTCACACTGAAAATAGAAGTGTTTTCTTACTTCCCCCTCCACCTCCCTGCCCAGCCCTAACCCTGTTTATGGAACTTTCTCTTCAATGTCAACCTGAGTGTAGACTGCCTTAGCATAATACCAGCCTAAGAGAACATATTTACATTAAATATCCAAATGACTATCTGGAACAGGCTGTCTAGCCTGAGTCCTGCAAAATACTGGAACATGTTTAGTCTGGAATTAGAAAGAAATGGATGATAAAATCCACAGTTACACTTCTATGCTGAAGAATCATGTGGATAAAATATGCAGCATTGGACAGCCAGCCACAGGCTCAAAGTCTCTTCTACGTTAAAAGACCTCTCCTAGCTCCCTGTTTTCTGCTGAATAAAGTTGATATCTTAGGATAGCACTGAAGGCATCTCAAGCAAATCTGTCTGGCCGTATTTCCCCTTGTTTTGCATTAAAACCCACTTATGGCTGGGCGCGGTGGCTCGCACCTGTAATCCCAGCACTTTGGGAGGCTGAGGCAGGTGGATCACAAGGTCAGGAGATCGAGACCATCCTGGCGAACATGGTAAAACCCCGTCTCTACTAAAAATACCAAAAATTTGGCTAACTGTGGTGGCAGGCACCTGTAATCCCAGCTACTTGGGAGGCTGAGGCAGGAGAATGGCATGAACCTGGGAGGCGGAGCTTACAGTGAGCCGAGATCTCACCACTGCACTCCAGCCTGGGCAACAGAGCAAGATTCTGTCCCAAAAAAAAAAAAAAAAAAAAAAAAAATTGCAACCTCAGGCATAAATGGGATAATAACCTATTCCTGCTAAATCTAACTTCTTCCTAATTCCTGCACAAGCCATTCCTTTCCTTATTGCAAGTCATATTACTAATGTTGCTTCCTCCACATAAAAGATTATTTCCTAATACTTAGTTATCTAACACTTCCCATCTCTCTTAGCCTCCATCTGCAAAGATGCGTTGTTCCCCATTCTCCTCCTGTCTCCTCAACTCAGAGTATGTTACTGCTCTCTCTCTAAAGGCGTTTATCACTGCATGTATTTTAAAAGCCTTTATTATTAATGTGCTTATTTTTATCATTGTTCTCTTCTTCCACATCTAGGTGATTCTCCAGTGCTTCTGGAATGTTCTCTGCCTCCCTTCTGACTGCTTCTTCTAGCTGCAGAAGAAAGCAGCTTCCTCGTTCCCGTCTCTCTTCTCTATTGGAAAGCATTCTCTTGGACTCCAAATTCAGAACTGTCTTCTTGTCAAGCTCTTCCCTTTTCCTTAGGCTCTGTTTCATTTGTAGAGCTTCAAATTCCTTGCCTCTGAAAATAAGCTCTGAATCTGTACTTGTAGCCTTGGCTTCCTTCATGAGTGTCAGACAAGTGTGTCAACCAGCTTTCTTTCAGAAATTTCGCTGGCACTTCAAAACAACAGTGTCGGATACCAAACTAAACTCTCCACCACCTCTTCCTTCCAAGTGGCTCTTGTTATTATTACCAACATCTTCCTCCCTGTCATCCATCAGATGCAAACATGAAATCTTGGGTGCTCTTTAAGCCTTTCCTTTCTACATCCTGCCAAGTCCTGCCATGTCCTGCCGAGTCCTGCCAAGTGATACAAACTGAATCTCACAGTTAACTCAGCTCTGTTCTCAACTTCTGTCCTGCCTTAGATTGGATCCTAATTGTACCTACACTAGACATGTGTAATGTCTTCACTGACCGGTTTTCCTCACCCGCATTTGTCAAAAGACCTTTGACTTAGTGATTCCATTAAAAGTATGTTTGAGCTGGGTGCAATGGCTTGTGCCTGTACTCGCAGCTACCCAGGAGGCTGAGGCAGAAAGGCGGAGGAGTTTCAGGCTACAGTGAGCTATGATTGTGCCACTGCACTCCAACCTAGGTGACAGAGCAAGGCCCCGTTTCCGGGGGGGAAAAAAAAAAAAAGACTTATTTGCTAAGCATTTTTGAATGCCTTCTTTAGTTATCTTTGTTTAATTCCAAAATCTTAGGGATTCTCTGTTGCATCCAAAATGAATCAGAAACTCTCAGACATGCCCCTGCTCCCTGCCTTAATTCATGTGGTTCCCAATCTCTGTGATTCCTTCTTTCCATTCTGACTGGTCTCAGTTCTATCCATCCTTGATATCTGGATTTCCTGCTGTTCCCAACCACCCTTCTGCACATGTGCTATCTCTCTAATGGCCCTTGCATCACTCTGGTTGGTTATTACAGCCATTTATTGCCTTTTCTTATCAACCTAGAAGACTGAGCTCCTTGAAAACAAAGTGTGGTGAGATGAAAAGTTAGGAACAACTGGGGTAAAAGACTTTTTTCATCCACTTTTTGATGGGGTTGTTGTTTTCTTATAAATTTGTTTAAGTTCCTTGAGAATTCTGGATATTAGACCTCAGTCAGATGGATAGATTGCAAAAATTCTCTCCCATTCTGTAGGTTGCCTGTTCACTCTGATGATAGTTTCTTTTGCTGAGTAGAAGCTTATTCGTTTAATTAGATCCCGTTTGTCAATTTTGGCTTTTGTTGCAGTTGCTTTTGGTGTTGTAGTCATGAAGTCTTTGTCCATGCATATGTCCTGAATGGTATTGCCTAGGTTTTTTTCTAGCATTTTTATGGTTTTAGGTTTTACATTTAAATCTTTAATCTACCTTCTTGTATAAGGTGTCAACAAACCTGTACGTTCAGCACATGCATCCCAGAACTTAAAGTGAAATAATAACAATAGCAAAAGGAGAAGATTACCAGAATGGATTAAAAAGCAAATCTTAGCCATCTGCCATCTACAGGAGATGTTTGTTAATTTAAAAGATGTATTTATATGTCTTCTGTCCTCCATGTGCTTTTGTTAAGCAATCAGAGGTCATTAAGATCTTTGTTTCTCTATATGTCATTTGCCATTTTTGCTATCTGCCTTAAAGAATTTCTCTTTATTTTTGGTTTTCTATAATTTGTAATATGACTAGACAGGATTTTCATCAGATTTTTCCTGCTCGGCACTTTCTGACGTTTAAAAATCTGTAACTATATGTCTTTCACTAAAAATTTTGTTTTGTTTTGTTTTGCCATTTACCTGTTGATTAGATTTGGCTGAGTTACTTAAGCTCTCTGAATCACCATTTTCTGTTTTGTAAAATGGAGATAACACAAAAATTACAGGATTAGGAGAAGACTGACTTCAATGACCTATGAAAGATAGTCAATAATTTTATAGCACATGCTAGTTGCACCATAAGTATTATTCCATTTTTCTTGCCTGTGAGTTTAACCTCATCCTTGGCACATGACAGATGCTCAGTGAATGCTTTCTACATTGGATTAGGGTTGTTGAATTGAAAACATGGGAAGGTGAGGATGAAAGTTTCATCCCTGTCTAAATCACTCAGCCTCATTTTAAAGAAAACCTCTGTTTCATGGTCACAAATTCTAATACCAACCCATTTGTTGGTCGGTTTGTTTGTTTGTTTTTTCCCCACAATTGTGTGTTACTGGCCCTTGGTAAACCACATATGGCATATGAGTGAGTATACGTGTGTGTGAGAATGGCCCAGGGTAAACCCACCAGTGCCACCTTGGGACAAGGCAAATTAGGATTTATATGTTCAATGTTCAATACTTAGGTCACTATTGGTAGCCAGCACATTGCATTTTTTTTTTTTTTTTTTTTTAAGACAGAGTCTCACTCTGGTTGCCTAGGCTGGAGTGCAGTGGCACGATCTTGGCTCACTGCAAGCTCCACCTCCCAGGTTCATGCCATTCTCCTGCCTCAGCCTCCCAAGTACCTGGGACTACAGGTGCCCCCCCACCACGCCCAGCTAATTTTTTGTATTTTTAGTAGAGATGGGATTTCACCATGTTAGCCAGGATGGTCTCGATCTCCTGATATCATGATCTGCCCGCCTTGACCTCCCAAAGTGTTGGGATTACAGGTGTGAGTCACTGTGCCCGGCCTGCATTTCTTACTGTCAGTGGATTTATATCAACATCCTCACATAGACTCAGTGAGAAGGCAGTTTGACCAACATTATTCCATTTGTTGCATAGAGAAATAAAGCCAGAAATAAAAAATAGCGAAGGGGATGTTCCCAAACAAAATGTTCCGCTGTGAAATAATATGGCTCGTAGGAACTGTATGGAGTATGACTGCAGTGATGCACTTGCTTTGTTGAAAGTCCAGCCTGTTGTCCAAATGCTATCTAGTGATGTTTTTACCTTTTTTTCCTCTCTCTCTCTTACTAAAACCTCCAGAGCCACTGAAAGCCACCATCAGTCCCAGGAAGGTTAAAAGCAGCGTGGGTAGCCAAGTTTCCTTGTCCTGCACCGTGACAGGAACTGAGGACCAGGAACTCTCCTGGTACCGCAATGGTGAAATCCTCAACCCTGGAAAAAATGTGAGGATCACAGGGATCAACCACGAAAACCTTATTATGGATCACATGGTCAAAAGTGACGGGGGCGCATACCAGTGCTTTGTGCGCAAGGACAAGCTGTCCGCTCAAGACTATGTGCAGGTGGTCCTTGAAGGTCAGTGGGCCTCGTTACAGGGTATGGCTGAAAAAGAACCCAAACCCAGAGCCCTCAGAAAAGAAGAAGACAGGGCAGAGCAGTGCTGATCGCTCAGTTCTGGGCTCTCTGTCTGTCTCACCAGCTACTACTCTACCCTAATTTTTCAAGCTAAATCAGGCAAATGGGAGAGAAAGTTCTGATGAGAATGAAATTGTTTCATATTAGAAGTAATGTAAAGTAACATAAATGTTACCCACTCGTTAGTTGTAAGTTATTTGCCAAGAATGAAATCTTAGAAGAAACCACAATTAACAGTTTTGTTGATCATTCATCTCTAGACCAGGGTCTTTCAAGAATACCTTGCTTGGGGAACTTTTTTCTTATTTTTTTTTCTTGAGATGGAGTTTCGCTCTTGTTGCCCAGGCTGGAGTGCAATGGCGCAATCTCAGCTCATCGCAACCTCCAGCTCCTCAGTTCAACCCATTCTCCTGCCTCAGCCTCCCGAGTAGCTGGGATTACAGGCATGAGCCACCACACCTGGCTAAGTTTGTATTTTTAGTAGAGATGGGATTTCTCCGTGTTAGTCAGGCTGGTCCCAAATTACTGATCAGGTGATCTGCCTGCCTCAGCCTCCCAAAGTGCTGGGATAACAGGCATCTTGGGAAACTTTTTTATGTGTTGTGGGATCTTTAGCAGCGTCTTTGGCCCTTTTCTACTAGACGTATGCTAGGAGCATCTTCCTCCAAGTTGTTACAACCAAAAATGTCTCCAGACATTGCCAGGTGTTCGCTGGGTGGGGTGTGGGCAATAGCCTCCAGTGGAGAAGTACAACTTAAGATTCAAAATGCAGAGTGAAATGTCAATACAGCGGTTGGTGGAGTGAAAAAATGGCATCTGTTTGCTGCAGTTGTCCCTAGATCCATCCAAATGTTCACAGATTTAAGTAAATGAAATTTGTGAGGAATTATTTTGTGGTATAATAACAGGTTTTAGGTATGTGATACAGTTTGCTTTTTTTTTTTTAACTGGTTACTGCATACTAAATCTTCAAGCTGATCAGTCAGCCAGAGAAAGAAGCTATCACGGGCAACATATGTTTATCACTACATGATTGAACTAGCTTCTATCTATGTATTTGTGTGTCTCGTTGGAAATTATGTCCTTCTATATAATTTAAAATTCATCTGATATCAATTGATTAAAATAATAGAATGATTTTGATATAGCCTAAAGGGAGAATGAATAAAACACATTGATATATGAAAATAAGTTTAAATATATCTTGATTATAAGACCATATTTCTGTTATTCTTTTTTAAACCTTAGCTAATTTTTTAAGAAGTAGCAGGTTTAGCAATGAGATTCCGATTTTGATTCAGTCGTTTCATTGCAGACAGTGAGATTTTTAAAGCAGAGGTGAAATTAGCTGAAAGCATGGTAATTCATATTAAATGCCTGACACTGTGTTCCGTATAATAATTAAGTGAAGAAAGTAATCAATTTGTGCAGAACCAGTTTGCTAATGATGATGCACTCTAGTCCTTACATAGTCACTATTTTTAGATTCTTTATAGAAAAAGGAGAGATTACCTGTCTAGGCCCAGTTACCTCGGCAACCATTTCGTGCAACTAAGAAAACCTAAAGACCATATTGATAATCCATAATGATGTCAGAAGAGTTCAGGTTATCAGAGTGACAGCAAGAAAGATTTCAAAGACACTCAGGTCTCCCTGGGAAAATAATGTCTGCTTTCATCTCCAAAAGAGCCTGTCACTTGAACTAAAAAGGGGACCGAGGAGCACCGCCAGCACACTCGCGGATTTATTTGTCGCATGTCAGCTTCCATTCAGGACAAGAAGCTTCACTTTATTTTTTTTTCTCTTCTGAGAGATGACAGTGCTAATGTAGCAAAAGAAAGCAGAAATGGAATTACAAATACATATCTAGTACCTGCTTTAAAAGAATGTCTGGCTAATTTCCTGTGGAAAACAAAAATACTCCAATTATTCTCACTGAAATAGCGATGGATTAAAGTAAAACTATAAAAATTTGTAATACTATGAACTAGGACTGATCATAGATACAATGGAGAATCTGGGAATATTTCCTATGAGGCTATAAAATGGAATTTAATAACTATAGGTTCAGGATAAAACCATAATACCTTGAAAATGGAATGATTTTTAAAAAAGAATAATAAAGGTTTCCAGTTCTGGAAATGGTAAAATAGCATATATCAGACTAAGTCCCAAGATGATAAAACACAAGAAACTTTGGGAAAAGCAAAAGTATATATAGACACTTGAGAGACACCAAAAGCAAATTGGAGAGTGTCCTCTTCCACTGAGGACACAGCTGAACTCCAAAAATGGGGGGGAGAATGCAAGTGTGCAATAAAAAAAATAATTAGACATACAAAAAACAGGACTCTGCAACCGAAGGACACAAGACAAAGCAAGCAGTAGAAACAAATGGGACCCAGACGTTAGAACTGGCAGACAAGGACTTTACAGCTGCTATTTAAAATATGTTCAGTAACTTACAGGAAAATATGGACTGAAAGAGTGAACGTATGGGACAGACTAACAGAGAAATTGAAACTGTAGAAAAGAATCCATAGAAATGAAAAATACACCATATTTGCTTTAATACAAGATTAGAGAAGGAAGAAGAAAGTATCAGTGAACTTGAAGATAAATCTTAGAAAATTATCCAATCTGAAGCATGGGGAGAAAGAAGACTACAAAGAAAATGATTAGAGCTTCAGTGACATGTAGGACATCATCAGATAACCTGACAGACACGTATGATTAGAGGCCCAGAAAAATAGGAGACAGGGAATGCAGAAGAAAAAAGTATTCAAGGAGATAATGACCTTAGTTTTATCAACTTTGGCATAAAAGTAAGGTTGCAGATCTAAGAAACTCAGCACACTCCAAAAATAAACACAAAGAAAATTCTATGTCAGTACATCAGAGTTAAGCTGCTGAAAACCAAAGATAAAGAGAAAAACTTAAAAATCTGAGGGAGGAAAAATATTACATAAAGGGGACATCAAGAACAAATGGTGGATAATTCATCAGATATTTTGGAGGACAGGAGACAATGGAGCAACATCTTTAAAATATTGAAGAGAAAACGAAAAACAAAGACACAAGCCCTGCCAACGTAGACTTCTATAGCAAAAAAACCAACAACAACAGGCTTTAAAAATGAAGGCAAAATAAAGATATTTTCAGTAATAAAAAGGTGAAGGAATATGATGTCAGCAGCCCTGCACATTAGGAAATGATAAATGAAGTCATGCTGGATGTAGAGAATGGACACTTACATCTATAGGATATAGATAACATGGAACAGAAAGGGAACATAAAATGGAAACATATCTATAGGAACAAATACCATGAGAAATGGTAAACATATTCATAAATATTTAGCAAAATTGTGTTTTATTTTTTAATTTCTTTAAACAATTGATGATTATAACATTATAAAATTACCACACTTGGCCATGTGCTGTGGTTCACACCTGTAATCCCAGCATTTTAGGAAGCAGAGATAGGCGGCTCACTTGAGGTCAGGAGTTTGAGACCAGCCTGGCCAACATGGCAAAATCCCGTCTCTATTAAAAATACAAAAACTAGCCAGGTGTGGTGGCACGTGCCTATAATCCCAAATACAGGCAGAAGCAGGAGAATAGCTTGAACCCAGGAGGTGGAGGTTGCAGTGAGCTGAGATCCTGCTACTGCACTCCAGCCTGGGCGACAGAGTGAGACTCCATCTCTAAAAGTACAATACAATACAATACAATACAATACCAACACTTTATTATAGAATTAATATAATAAATAGATGTAATAACAAAAAGGGAAGAATTATTTGTTGCAAGGGTCTTACATTTCACATAAAGTACTGCAATCTTAACTTTTAGTAGACGTAATTTAAAACATACACACCCACATAGATATACATATAGGGGTGTGTGTGTGTGTGTGTGTGTGTGTAAAAATGGAACTTATCTTGTAAATGCAAGATTGGAAGAACATTAAAAATCTAATCTGTGTAAGTGACTATATTAATAGAATAAGGGAGGAAATCCAATTGATTATCTCAATATATACAGAAAAAATCATTTGATGAAACTTGAATCCATTCAGCATAAAGAATCTCCAGCAAACTGGAGACTCTGGAGAGCATCCTTGACCAGGTAAGTGGCATCTGTGAACAATCTACAGCTAAAATCATACTGGTTAAACACTAAATGTTTTTCATTTAAGATTGAGACCGAGGCAAGGATGCCCACATCCACCACTTCTATTCAACATTATACTAGCAACCCTAGTTAAACTTGAGTAGAAATAAAATACATGGAGTTTGGAAAGGGAAAATTTGCAGCTGTCTTAATTACAGGCATTGTTGTTTACAAAGAATATGACAAGGAAACAATAAAGCAATTTCTAAAAGTGAGTTTAAAAAGTCATTGGATATAAGAATGATATACAAAATGCAATTTTATTTCTGTATACTGAGAACAAACAATTGGAAACTAGTATTTTGAAAATTTCATTTACAATAACATAAAACATAAGATAGGAATATATTTAAAACAAATGTGAAAGATTTCAACATACAAAAATACAAAACTCTGCCAATATAAAATTGAAATAACCTAAATAATTGAAAAGATATACCATATTCAAGGATTAGAAAACTAAACATTCTTAAGTTAACAATTCTCTATAAAATGATAAATGTGATTTCAAGCAAAACCAGGGCATGGTGGCTTGTGCCTGTAATCCTAGTATTTTGGGAGGCTGAGGCAGGGAGATCCCTTTAGCCCAGGAGTTTGAGGCTGGCCTGGGAAACATGGCAAAACTTCATCTCTACAAAAAAAAAAAAAAAAGAAAGAAAAAATAGGTGTAGTGGTGTGCACCTGCAGTCCCATCTACTTGGAAGATTGTGCCACACCAAGGACAACAGAGGGGGACACTGTCTCCAAAAAAACAAAAACAAAAAACAAAAAAAAAAACAAAAGAAACAAAAAACATACACACACATACATATGTACCTTTTCAACAAATTAACACTGAAACAACTCAATAAATGTATGGCAAAGAATGAGTATTAATCCCTACATCACACTTCATATCCACACAGAATTAAGTTGCTATCCATATAGAATTGAATATAAAGTATAAAGCAATACAGTCTCCAAAAGAAAACATAGAATAATTCTTCATGATTTGCAAATAGGTAACAATTTCTTAGGACACAGAAAGCATTAAATGTCAACACAAGTACATTATTAAGAAAAGATAAAGGCAACCACAGACTGGGATAAAATATTTTATACACACACAAATATATGTGCTATATATATGTTGACATATATAATCTCTATAGGATATCTGACAAATGTATCAGATCATTATAAGATATCTGACATAGATACTCTCTCTATATATATTTCCTTATATTTCAAATACATAAAGATTTAAATTTGTTGTATTCCACAACAAATCAAGAACAAAAAGGCAAACAGTCTAATATAACAATGGCCAAAGATTTGAGCAGATACTCACTAAAGGAAACACACGGCTGGCCAATAGGCACATAAAACACGTACCTTCCATGGTATTTCTGGGAAAAATATACAACCTGCATTTAGTCATGAGGAAATATGAGACAAACCCAATTTCAGCAACTGACTACAAAATTACTCTTCAAAAATATAAAAGTCAAGAAACACAAAAGAGGCTGAAGAATATTCCAGATGAAAAGAGACTGAAATGACATGAAACATAAATAATGGGTGACACAGACTCCACTGGAAAAAAACAGTGACGAAAGATATTAGTGGTCAACAGACAGAATTTTGCTGTGAACAGTGCGTTAGATAATAGTACTGTTCCAAAGTCACATCTTCTAATTATATTCTAAGTGTACTCTGGTTGTGATGAAATATATGCACGTACAAAGCATGCGTACTCTATTATTATGTTTCTTCTAAGCTCAAGCACAGGCAAAACCAGCACATCCTAAGAGGAATCATAGCAGTGATCTATGTTGGATGGGGGTTTATTGAAAGGAGCCCTTAGGGAATTTTGGTGATGGAAATGTTTTATATCTTGATCATTTTGGTGGTTATTCTGGTGTGTATATTTAGCAAAACTAAGCTATACACTTAAGATCTGTATATTTCACTGTATGTAAAATTTACCTGCAAAAAGAAAAGTATAACCGAAGAACACTTTGCTAAACCCATGAGTTTTCAGAGCTTAATGTAAAAACGAGTGAAAAGAAATCTACAGCTAAACACATTTTACAAAAACCACGGAATTATGAAGGACACGTGAAATAACTCCAGTACTCCTAAACATTAACGACTGATCACGGGCAATGAATAGCAATCATGATGACATCTAACTTCTCTGTAAAATTAAACACAGGACGTGATGAGGCAATGTCTGCAGTGCGTTAAAGACAAAAGCATCGATTTTGCATGTTAATATTTTAAAGGTTTCTTTTTCATCTCTGACAGTAAGAGACAAAATGCTTACAACCCAAGGACACTGCAATATGCTACTTATGAGCATATCTTGGAGAAAACAAACTCCAGGGCCTTCTCCAGCCACCTGAAACATGAGCTGGAATGAATAAGTGAGATTCAGGAATTTGGGAAGGAATAGATGGTAGAGGGGTGGAGGGAAGAGCTGCAGCACAGCCCCACCATCATGAAGGCCCTACATAACTGGCCTCCCCGGCCAAGAACTAGGCCCCAAGGTTTTGGGGGAATGAGTGGCACTTTCCTCAAGGATGTTTGGAACTATTAACCATTCACTGTTGCCTTTCCCTGATGGAATTGCAAGCTATCCTAAATTTTGCTTGCCTCCTTTGTTTTTGTTGATAATACTTTCCAATTTTCAAGAAGAAAGATATTCAAAAATGGAGATATATTTTTTATAATAAAAATTAAAAACTAAAAAAAAAAATCTAGTCATTCTTATCATTTGTTATGGGACAACCCTTTAATTGAACACAAAAATTCTTTTAAAAAATAAAAAATGTCCCCTCCAGCAAGGTCTCTTACCAGACTCAGAAATCCTGTGGCATGTGATTACAATTATGTCAAAATGACCCACTTATGCCTAGAAAAAATGTGTCACAGTGTTGATTTGTATGCCTGAGGCTGGCTGACCTATTGGTAACTTTTCTTCTGATTTTCATACATTTCCTTTAATATGTATGTATTGCTTTTTATAAATGGAAAAACATATATAAAATAAACATGCATTTGTAACTATAATAAGAGAAAAAAACCATATGGATGATAGAAAAATAATGGAATATGAAAATTTGATCTATGTAAACATACTGAAAATTTCTGTGGAAACTTCTCTGAGATTAAGATCCTAGTTTGCCTGCAACAGTTCTGGGTCGTGCCTGTTCTCTTGGCATAATTAGTAGTCGTTTCTGTTTCAGCCTCAAAAATGTCCCAGGTTGGATGTTAAATTATATGACCGGCCTACTTAAGTTACTTTTAGAGATATTTAAAACATGCTTAAGTACCCACCCTACTTAAGGGATCTTTAGAGGTTTTTAATACACGGCATTTAATGCAAACTTTATTTAGCTTCTGCCCATCCTCAGAGACTTCGTGGAAGTTTGCATGCAGTTACCATTTGTAATTAAAGCTGTAAAAGAGGAATTCTTATGATAAAATGATGAAGATGAGATCATCAATCTCTCAGTAGTCTCCTTTATTCCTGTAAACAATTCCCTAGTGAGAAAACCCCAAATAACTTGAGGAAGTATTAGGTTGGTGCAAAAGTATTTGCTGTTTTGGCCATTACTTTTTGCAATCACTCTTGCATCAGCCTAACAGATAAAGTGACTGTGGGGGTGAGCGGATGTGAATTTTCCCTCTATTTATAACTTTGTGTGAGGAAACACCAGTTTTAAACTAGGGACTTCTTGGGAGCTGTGATTGTTTAACCCGAACATCTAAGTTGTATTACCATTCCTCTTAAGTCAGTCAGGAAATACAGAAACAGTTTATGAAAGCTTGCTAATGCTGTGCTTACCTGTTTTGAAAATACTGAACTCTTGTTCTGATTAACGTTTTGCCTTATCAATAAAACCAGACCTTTTTGGTAATGTTGAACAACTACGACATCTACCTCCTAGACATTAAAGAAATGTACTTGGAAGTTCTTTAATTATTTGTATGTGCCACTTTCTTCCATAATTTGTTTTCCTGCAGATGGAACTCCCAAAATTATTTCTGCCTTTAGTGAAAAGGTGGTGAGTCCGGCAGAGCCGGTTTCCCTTATGTGCAACGTGAAGGGAACACCTTTGCCCACGATCACGTGGACGCTGGACGACGACCCCATTCTCAAGGGTGGCAGTCACCGCATCAGCCAGATGATCACGTCGGAGGGGAACGTGGTCAGCTACCTGAACATCTCCAGCTCGCAGGTCCGGGACGGGGGAGTCTACCGCTGCACTGCCAACAACTCGGCGGGAGTCGTCCTGTACCAGGCTCGAATAAACGTAAGAGGTGCTTGTCAAATCAGCTCCTCAAAAAAACACACATAACTCATTGTAGTGGAGAAGAAGATTTCTGCATGCACCGAGCTGGGTCTTGGAATGCCAGAGCGGATTAACTGTTGCTTTCCATTTCCTGCCCTCTCCTTCCTACTCAGGAATGGCACTGACTGGGTTAATGTTGGAAATGGCATTTTGGTTTCTGTAGTCAGCTTGTTCTTTTTTACTCTAGATCTGTTCACCTGATGTTTCCTTTCCTGGTTTATGCTCTGCATGCCCTTTCCCTTCTCCTCCTCTTCGGTTCTTCCACATTCATGGTAAACCTTCATGTACATGGTATTAAACTTACATTCATGCTGCAACGTGGCGTAACCTCCATCGTCATCCTGGATTTTACAGAGAGAGTTAAACAATTGATCAATGGCTGCCAGTGTTTTCACCAAAAGTGCATGATTGTCCAGTGTAGACTAGTTGCTTTCTATTAATTAAATTGCCTTTTATCTTGTAATTTTTAATTCAAAACATTTTCATAGAAGTAGCAGATAAAGTATTTAACACTTAATTCATTTGAATTTAAGAAAAGGAAAGAAAAACCTTCTTTGTAGAAAATACCACATGCAAAAATATTTGTTTAACTGAAAAAGATGTGCTTACATGAATAGAATCTACATTTTTAACTCAAGGAAAAGCGTCCCCATCTCCCCACATGAGATGTACCCTTAAATTATTTTCAAGAGTTTCTTTGTGTCTCTCCAGGGCCTGCAAGCATTCGACCAATGAAAAACATCACAGCAATAGCGGGACGGGACACATATATTCACTGTCGTGTGATTGGCTACCCGTATTACTCCATTAAGTGGTACAAGAACTCTAACCTGCTTCCTTTCAACCACCGCCAAGTGGCATTTGAGAACAATGGAACTCTTAAACTTTCGGATGTGCAAAAGGAAGTGGACGAGGGGGAGTACACGTGCAACGTGTTGGTTCAACCACAACTCTCCACCAGCCAGAGCGTCCACGTGACGGTGAAAGGTAAGCCCTGTTCTTCCGGTTCCCACACATCTCATTCCAAAGCCCGACTACTTCCCAGACCAATGATTTGAAGTCGGGTAATCTAAGATCTGCTTATTTAGAGCAGGATAATTGTACAGGGTGAAGAATGACAGGGAACATGAGATGTCCTCTTTACTACTGACTGAATCTTCACAGGACCTTTAATTGATCTAATTTTCTCTCCAGGTGGAATTTTGGCTTGCTTTTCCAGAGGGCATGTGTTGTTAACATTACAACAGAAAAAAAAAAAAAAAAAAAAGAAGCACATCATTGGCTTGGTTATCTAGTCGTCTTTCAGATAATTTTTAAGTGGATAACTTTCTTTTCCTCAAACCTCCTAAAAGCAAGGTCTCTTAGAATGTAACTGGAAGGGATTTTCTGTGTTGAATGAGGATTTCAAACAAACGTCTTATCTTCTGTAGTTGAGCAGGTCAAAGCAACAACATAGAAATTATGTTTAAAGGATTCCACAGAGTGTTTTTCTCATTAAATTATTTGCATCATGGCATGGACTGTCGTGGAATCTACCTGTCAGGATGATCTTTAGAGATCCTGCATTTCAACTACAATTTCCTTGCCAGAAAAAAACAATAAGGTGATCAGGCTCATCCAAGGATACACAGCTTTGTAGTGGCAGAACCTTAGATAGGCTCGTTTCTTCTATTCTCCAAGTCAGTTTCCTGAGCTGAAGATGAAATAAAATTGTTTTAATTATGTAAATAATCTACCTGAGGTAGGTCCTAGGAATAGAAGTAATATGTTATAAAACTGTTTCTAAAACCTGTGGGTGTTGCTTCTAGCCGCACTGAGCTGCCTTTCTGAGATGTCCAATGTATCTCCCCAAGTACCAATAATTGGCTTTTAGTTGCCCTTGTTACAAAGTTGCATGGGTTTCCTGTGGTCTTCCCCAGCCTTCTTTTCCTACCGACCCTGTGAGTTTTACTTTATTGAGAACACCTACAAACACACACACACACACACACACACACACGAAAAAAATAATATATGTATATTATTATTATGGGGCATATATATATTACATACATTATATATTGTAGAATATGTATTGTGTATTGTATATTAGATATGCCTGCACATATAATAACCGTGTATCTTGAGAATTTTCTCAAATCACTAGATATTCTTGGTAAACCAGGCTGGTAATAGCTGCATAAAGGTTCGTTTTGTGGTTGTGTTTATTCTTTAATCCTCATTTACAGAACATCTGCTTCATGCCAGGCACTCCTCTAGACACGGAGGAATGCAATGATGAAAAAGGTGTGCAAAGTTCTTCCCCTCATTGACTCTCTTCTCAGTCAGGAGAGAGAAACAATAAACAAATAAAACAAGTGAATAAACCAGAAAACACCTAATGGTGCTCCATACTATGCAGAGAATTAAAACATGGCAGTATCTTAATGGTTCATTGCAATAGTCAGATGCCATATCAACACATTTGCTGTACTCTGCCATCTTAAAATTCACTGGTCTGTCATACCCTTGGAAGGAATGTTTTACCCACACATGATTTTGTAACATAAAAAGTTGATTATTTGGAAGTGATTGGTTCACCACATTATGCAGATCTTCCCAATGTTGATACAATTTGTTATACAATATCAAAATATCACAACTACTAACATTACCATGATCTCATCAGAAAGTCTTCAAGTAAACTGTCAAGTTCATGCTGATGGACACAAGTTTTCTAAAATTCTATTCTTTCTTGAAAGATTCAATTTTATTATTTATAATAAACACCATCAATTGTAATCGTAGGAGTGATGGGCTCATTTCTCTGTAAGAAATTGTTTGACAAATAGAAAAGACTGCATAACCATTGATTTTAGGTAGCCATTCTTTTAAGAAAGAAATGGAATTCCATGAAAAAAAAAGCAGCTGCTCAAATTTGCAACTTAAGCAAGCACAGACATACTCTGACATGAAGTATGACATTCACGTCAGACATACTCTGACATGAAGAAGACAGCCCCATGCTGCTCAGGAGGCAGAGGACACACTGTGCCTTCTTCCCATTTATTACACAGGACATACAACATTAAAAATAACATGAGCTTTAGGGTAAAAATGTAATAAAACTGTTCTTTTTCTTGCTTCATTGTCTGTAAATGAATCTGGCATTTTTAAAAATCCAACTCAGACTATGCGTTGGTAAACAGTACAATGAACAGTCATCCTGTTAGTGTCGCTGCTGGGATTCATGGTAAGGCTCAGCAGTCCCACCCACCATGGCTTTTGCTCCAACGGTGCAAATATCAACACCATGAGAAAGGCAAACAGCACCTCAGCATTGTCATGAAAAAGATTTTCTTCTTAGAAATCACCTAAAATGGTCTCAGGGATCCCTACAGGTCTGTGAGCTACATTTTGAAAACATCTAATACAGTGCTAAAATTTGAGTTTATTTCTAATGTTTGACCATTACAAATAAGGTATCAAATGAACTTCTTTATGCATTGGCCTTTGTCTGATTTTAAGATCATTTTTTTCAAGAAAAATTTCCAGAAGTATGTCCGTTGAATAAATAGGTATAATATTTTAATGTAATTTTTAGGAGACATAAATTTAAACAAAAGCTCTTTGAATCATTAACTTTTGCTCTTTAAATTTGCCAGATCATTATAAATCAGTGTATTCATCTTGATCCTTTTGAAGTGACAGAAACCAATTCAAACTAGCTTATGGCCAAAAGAATAATTTATCGTCTCTTAGAAACAATATATTTGTGATTTTAGGAAGTAATTCTATTGAATAATTTTGTCTTCAGCAGCTTCTTTTCTTCTAAACACATATCATATAGTATAAAACTTGTCAGCTCCTTTGCAAATACTTGCAAACAAAGGAAGGAAAATATTATTTTTTTTGCCTGGAATTTTATGGTATTTTATTGCCTGGAAAGAAATGGCAGTTGTTGGGATTTGAGGCTTGCAAAATTTATCAGAATAGTCAGGAAAAGCTGCCTTGAAAAAGTGAGACTTTGAGCAAAGATGTGGAGGGGTTTCAGACAGTTCATAGGTAAAGGGAAGAGATAGAACCACGATGTTTAGAGTTTGCCCGGCAAGCTTGAGGAATAACAGAAAGGCTGGTGTGGCGGGAGCCAAGTGAACAAGAAAACATTAAGAGGTCCTGAGTCAGAAGGAGCAGAACCTTTTCATGGGGGACTTACTAGATCAGGACTTCGGTTTTCAGGACATGGGTTTTCTGCTGAGTGAGATGGGGGCTTTGTTGTATGACTTTAAAAAGAAAAGTCACATGGCCAGACTAAGGTTTTGAAAGGATGCTTTTAGCCAGGTATGGTAGGACGAGCCTGTAGTCCCAGCTACTCCAGAGGCTGAGACAGGAGAATACTTCAAGTCCAGTAGTTTGAGGTTGTGGTGCACTGTATTTGCACCTGTGAACAGCCACTGCACTCCAGCCTGGGCAACATAGTGAGACCTCATCTCTAAAAAAAAAAAAGAAGAAGGATGCATCTTATTCCTGTGCTGAGAATGGTCTATGCAGGGAAAGGGAGCAAGTAGAATGACCTGTTGGAAAGTGAATCCAAGTGAGAGATGGTGGTGGGGGAGAGCAGAGGAGGTGATGGGTAGAAGACAGACTCTGGATCTATTTTGAAGGTCTATTCAATCGGTTTTCCTAGTGGTTGGATACAGGTGTGAGGAACATAAAGACATCAAGGATCAGGTCAGGCTTCTGACCTGAGTGTCAGGAAGAATGGCATTGCTTTCTACTGAGTGAGCAGAAGATGCAGTGGACCGGTTTAAGGAAGGCGATTAGGAGTCTAGTTATCGATGTGTTGAGATTGAAATACACACTAAACAAGTAAGTGGATGCTCTCAGTAGGAAATTAGATATGGGAGAGTAGAGTTCAGGAATCCAGGCTGCAGACCTGGGGACATCAGTGAACAGATGATGCTCAACACCACAGCGTGGGTGGGACCCTCACGGGACTTCATGCACCACACCGCAGGTTTTGACTTCGTATGGACAGGCTGCCCCACCCCCCAGTCAGGCTCACATTAGAACCTTTCACCAAATATCTGAAGATAAAGTCTGACAAAAATTCAAGTTTGAAATGTAAGTTTATCTCTTTTTAGATTTCCTAGATTGGCACAGATCCATGTATTGACTATGACCCTATTGGTTGCAAGGTGCAAGAATCCAAATTACCTTTGCTTCAACAGCCAAGTGCAGAGGCACACTGCTGTAATCCCAGCTACTTGGGAGGCCTAGGTGTGATGTGGTACGCAACTGTAGTTCCAGCTACTCCGGAGACTGAGACAGGAGAATGGCTTGAAGCCAGGAGTGCGAGGCTGCGGTGAACTACTTCCAAAACACAGTAACAATTATACCCCATTCACAATCTTAGCCTTTACTCAGAACTTAGAAGGGTCTTAAACAAATTGACTTCTGAACATTTAAATTTACATTTTAAAATGTTTTAATCTCAGTACTTTGGGAGACCGAGGCAGGAGGATCACTTGAGGCCGGGAGTTCAAGATCAGCCTGGCCACCATAGCAAAACCCAGTCTCTACTAAGAATACAAAAAGTAGCCAGGCATGGTGGCACACACCTGTAATCCTAGCTACTCGGGTGGCTGAGGAGGGAGGATATCTTGAACCCAGGAGGTGGAGGTTGCAGTGAGCCAAGATAGCACCACTGCACTCCAGACTGGGTGACAGAGCAAGATTCTGTCTCAAGATAATAATAATAATAATAATAATAATAATAATAAATCAACAAATAAAATGTTTTTAAAAGAAATATTAATATGTAAATTAAATTATACTCCAACGGTCAGGATTGTAGTTCATCAAGGCTTTTTAAAAATTAACAACCGAGTATTAGGGGAGGAAAATAAGAAATCAGCTAAATTTTAGGAAAGGACTTAGAATTTTGGCTCTCCCTGTGGGTTAGGCTTGAAAGAGACTTTCTTAGTCTTTTCATGTAAATGCAGCTC